AGTAAGTCCCTTTCTGCTTAAAGTATGCAGAGCCTGTTTCTGTTTTCACTTTCTCTTTTTTAAATAATTATTTTATCTTTTCAGGTTATAATGGTAAAACATTTATGATGGAAAATGTAGAAAATGCAGTAAAGTAGAAAGAAGATTTTAAAATAACCACGTCCCAACAAGCACTTTTAACATTTAATGTGTTTCATTTCCTTTTTTTTTTTAATGCATTTTTACATAGTCTCACTGTATATATAATTTTATGTTTGGCTTTGGCACTTAACATAATAACATGTTACTTAAAAACCTTGCTTTTTCTTTCTGTAAAAATTTTAAAATATTTAAGTGGGTAATACATGAGCATGATACAAAATTCAAAAGGTATAAAAGGAAATGCATAGATAAATAAAACTTCCTAACTATAATTTTTTGTTCTTACTTAGAGGCAACTTCTAATACTCTCCTTCTAGAGATTTTACTCTTATAAAAATATACATGTATATGCATATTCCTTTTCTTTAAAAAATCAAAACAATGTTCTGCATCATATCTTGAGTGTTACTCCATAACAGTGCGTGTAAACTATATCTCCTTCTTTTTAAATGGCATTTGAGATATTATTTACATAAAGTAAAATGCACAAATATGAGCTGAAATTACAATTTTGCAAATGTCTACATCTGCATGACCATCACCTAGGTTAAGATATAGAACATTTTCTTGTAATAACTGTGTACCACCGGTGCCAGGGGGAACACTTTGTAAAGTACATAATTGTCTGACCACGATGCTGTACACCTGAAACTAATACAAGATAATATTAAATGTAAACTGTAATTGAAAATAAAATTTTTTTTAAATCTAAAAACATATAGAGCATTTTCATCCCTGCAGAAAATTCCCTAGTGCCCCTTCTTAGTCACTACCTACCCTGCTCCCCTGAAATCACTACTCTGGTTTCTATCACCAAAAAAGTAGTTTTGTCGTTTTTAAAGTTTAAGGGAGACAAATAACACTGTTTTGCCGTAACAGTGTTTTCGAGATTCATCCACGTCATTTTATATAGCAACAGCATGCTTTTTATTGCTGCGTGGTCTCCTGTTGTATGACTAAACCACAATTTCTTGGTCCATTCTCCAGCTGATGGACATTTGGATGGTCTTCACCTTGGAGCTAATATAAATAAAGCTGCTATGACCATGCTTGTGCAAACATTTTTGGTTTGGGGCATATTCTTAGGAATGGAATTGCTGGGTCATCGGCTGAATGTACATTTAAGTTTATTAGGAACTGCCAAACGGCTTGCCAAACAATTTTACACTCCCACTGGCTGTGTATGAGTTTCCATTGCTTCACATCTTAGCTAACAGGTGATACTGTTAGACTTTTAAATTTAGTCATTTCAGTGGGTGTATAATGATCTCTCCTTGTGGCTTTAATCTGCAGTTCCCTGATGGTTAATGAAGTTGAACTTTTTTAAAAAATATGCTCATCAGCCATTTGGATATCTTCTTTTTTTTAAATGTATTTTATTTTTTGTTAGTTCTCACCAGAGGACATTTTTTCCATTGATTTTTAGAACGAGTAAAAGGGGGGGAGACATTGATTGGTTGCCTTCCACACACTCCCCGACTGGGGCCAGGAACCCAAGGCAGTGCTGCTGGCCGGGAATCGAACCAGCGACCCTTTGATGCGCGGGCCGTCTCTCTGTCCCTGCAGCACACCCGGCAGGGCCTGGATAGCTTCTTTTCTAAATGTTTCTTCAAGTGTTTCGCACACTTAAAAAAAATTGTCAGGCTGCCTGTTCGGGACCCCTCTCCCTGCAGTGGGAGCTTTTGTCTCTCCTCTCATTCAATAAACTTTCGCTTTTGCTTACCTCTCAAAAAAGATAAAAATAAAAGTAATAAAATAAAAATAAACTGTCATCTTATTGACTTACAGGAATTCTTTACATATCTCTGATAAGAATCCTTTGCCAAATATTTGAATTATAGATATTTTCTTCTAGTCTGTGGCTTGTCTTTTCACTTTCGTAATAGTGTCTTTTGATTAGCAGAAGGTTTTCATTTTGGTCAAGTCAAATGCATGCTTTTCTTTTCCTTTTGTGAGTAATGCCTTCTGGGTCCTTGCATGCAGAGAGCTGGGATATTTTTCCAAGTGCATGAGGTAGGAGATGGACATGTGCAGCTACACAGATTACTCAATTATGTAATGAAAACCTTGATAATCTCCTGGTAAAATTTAAAGGGGGATGAGAGGTGTAGATTTTATATAGGAGGCTTGTTTGAAGCTGGAACAGGAAGATTGAAGGGTATAAAGGTGACTGGAGCATCCAAGCAAAGGATTAAGAAAAAGAGCTGTACAGAGATATGGATCCTTTGTGAAGGTCATTAGATTTAGGGTTGTGTGGAAGAGACGGGATAGAGAGCAGTGACCTTCTGGGAAGCTGGTGATCCTGAAACTGTTGCTGGTGTCTGGAACACAGACTATGTGCCTCTCAAAACTATACAATATTGTTCGGCCGGGCGTGGCGCAGCAGCTGAGCATCGACCTAGGGCCCAGGAGATCACGGTTCGATTCCTGGTCAGGGCACATGCCCGGGTTGTGGGCTCGACCCCCAGCAGGGGGCGTGCAGGAGGCAGCTGGTCAATGACTCTCATCATTGATGTTTCTCTCTCTCTCCCTCTCCCTCTCTCTGAAATCAATAAAGATATATTTTTTAAAAAAACAAAACTGTAGAATATCAAGAATGGGAAACTGTAGGAACAAATGAGGATGCTGGTGTGTGTTAGTGACTTCATGCAGTCTTCAGAATGGTCCTATAAGAGAGACAAGTTTTGGGCCGAGGCGCCCTGCTTTAAAAGCAGGTAGACTATGATCTTGCTGAGAGTGATTTTCAGTCCAAATTTACTAGAAGTCCTATAATTTGGAGCCTTGCAGGGCTCCAAAAGCTAAATTCTCTACCCCAAGAGAAAGCACTAGCAGAGACAGGAGACTTAGCTAGATATCAGTGTGTGCAAAAAGACCAGCCTACTACATTGCAAAGCTTTAAACATTTTCTGCCCACGATGGAGAAAAATGTGGGGGCAAAGAACAGATTATAGATATCTCTCTGTGCCTCAGACGCCGATTTTAAATAGCTGCAAGGCAGAGGCTGTTCAACCAAGTGCCAGAGCCCGAGAATAAACAAGGCGTGGAGGCCCGTGGTTACCAGAACGGATTTCCCGGTCTCCAAGGCTGTGTCTAGACAAGATGTCTGGAATTGACTGGAAATAACAGAAAACCTGTATGTTTTTGAGGTCTCATTGGCAATTCAGTTTCTTCAAAAATCTGATAAGAGCTAGTGAGTTTTAACTTCTATGGCTATCCCCAGGCTTGTGAATGTTGCCCAACTCAAGGGGTTCGCTGCTTGGGGTATTCTGCTCAAGAAAGAGACGTGATTGCCCCTAGGTCGTTTTGGAGATGGATTTACATCTAAAGCTCTGTCTCCCAGAAAGGAGGCTTAACCATTGCTTATATACACTATTTGGTTAACATTAATGTTGATTTCTTCTTTGCTGTTGGCTAAACCTACCTGGTTGGGTTTGGGTCAAGCTCATCTGGTTAAAGCTGCATCTGCAAAATACTGTACTACATTTTAACATTTAGCAAGAATAGCATTTAGTAAGAACTGCCCAGACCTTGAGACCTTTGTCCTATCTAATATTATTATACATAAAATACATGTACTATTACACAAAGTGATTGTACATGTTAGTTAAAGCTGGAAAAGCTTTTGCAATAGAATCTTTATGACAACAATGGAATGAGGTATGTGTGTTCAGTTCCAATTTGGGAGAATAAAAAATGATTGCCAGTCTATATCCATAACTAAGAAATGCTGAATTAAAGTTAAACCAATTACTTTACTACAGAACTTCTCAGAGCATTTACTGTGCTAATGTGAATTGCAATTTTTTTTTTTCTTTTGGAAAATTATTTGACCATTAAAATAGTTTTCACTAAGTTTTATTAATATCTCACAGACACACCTTCAAAGACCCTAAATTACCCACAGCGATCTTCGGTAGGTAAGAGTAGAAACCATAAGGGCAGGGCTAGGTCAGTTGTTGTAAAGTCTACTGACTCCAAAAATAACAGAGAGCTTTCCTCAACAATGTGTGATGGCTCCGTTCGGTAGGTGACATGGGTCTTTAGTAGACAGCAGCTGGTCTCAAGCCCCTGGAATTCAATGGCTTGCCACCACACTTATACTGTTTATCATGATACCGTAGCATGGGGTCCAAGTTCAATCCCTGGCATTCTGGGATGTGTCTTTGTGGTAGCAAGTTTGATGCCAGGAAAACCTTTGTTCTAGTAGAGAGTGGACTACCTAGTGCTCGCCTCTCTCCCCCCAGCTGCCTGAGTCCCATCCATCTTGCAGGCTCCAGATAAGCTCACTCCATGGAGACTTCCTCAGCTGCCTGGGCCATGGTGACTGCTCCCTCCTCTGATCCTCCTGTTGGGCCGAACCCTGGCTGCCCAATGATGCTAGTGGACTGAACTAAACCAGCCTGAAACCTCCTCAAGGCAAGGACTCTAGGTTATTCACACTATATGAGTCCACAAGGTAGAACCAAATAAAAATTTGTGGATGCCAGTGATACTGGAGATGATGTTTCTGACTGTGATATAATTACCACCAAATAACCTTTAAGGACCAGCAACCAGCCATTCTTTTGACGAAGGATACCAACCCTCTTTCCTGTGAGATCTAAGGAAACAATGTGAGATACTGTGTGTGCAAATGCTTTGGAAACAGTAAGGCATTATACAAATAAATAATCATTGCCCTGATCAATGATTGGTCCATTTCTAATGACCTCTGGTCTTTGATTGGTCTTTCCAGAAACTGAACCCATCCCATCTGCCCTACACACTATATGGTTCATTGTAATATTCATCCTTTTAGGAGTCCATTTTTGGTACCCTGACCGCCGGCTCCACTGTTCCAGATACCCACGACCAGTCGACCCAGTGCTTTTCTGTGCCCGGGCACCTTTACATGAAGCATTGGAGGTAGTTCTTGAAGTAGTGGAGAGCCAGCTTGAACTGGATCTGGGCATTGGTGTTGGCCCGGTACTTGCTATAGGTCTTCTGCAGGGCAGCCAGCTCTGGGTCCACCTCTGGAGAACGGGCCTGGTGACCCACTATCACGTCTGGGCATGAGCCCACAAACAAGCTCCCGAGCCCATCAATAAAGAACTCTGCCAAGACAAGAAGGGCACGAGAAGGAAACGTGAGAGTCAGCCAGAGACCCAGGGCCATATTCCAGTCTAGGAGGACAGTCGGGGAGAGGAGACACAGTTTATACCGCTGCGGAGGTTTGGGCCCATGCAAAGCCACCTGCCCAAGCTGATTTGGAAGGAAATAAATAAGCTCATTTCTCAGGCAGAGATATGGGTAGAGAGGCAGAGAAACACAGATTAGCTTTCTAGCTCGACACCTGGACTAAGGGAGCAAGACAGAAAAGAGAGAGGACAGTTATCCCAGTTGCAGTTAAATAGGAAAGGATTTCTGGAAAAATGAGAATGGGAAGCAGAGGAAGGGGGCAGAACTGTGGGGAAAGGAAAGGGAAGAGTGTCTCAGATAAGCAGGAGACAAGTCAAAGAGAGGGTGAAGAGGGAGGCAAGAGAGACCATGAGCTCCTTAGTTTGGGGGGAAAGGGAAGGGAAACCCTCTGTTGCCTGGCAAGCGACTGTGATCAGTGGAGAAGGCCCTTGAAAGAGCAAACTCCTAAGGTCAGTTCATAACCCAGCTCCCAGCCTCACTCCTGCAGCCCCCCCACCTGAATGAGCCACTCGTTGCAGGCGAGGGTCGAAGCCAACCCTTAGGAGTCGTTCTGTGTGGGCCAGGAAGAAGTTGGCAACGCCACTGGTCACCACACAGTTGGGGAAGCCATCCAGGGGCTGGAAAGATCCTGGCCTCCGGTGAAGACAGTTCCCATTCTCACTCTGCTCCAGCAGCAGCTTAAACTGGAACGTGTTTCCAAGCACATTGCCGCCTACCTAGCCCATGGGCAGAGAAATCACGTTAGAGAAGTGACTCAAAGCGCCAGGAAGCCTCATTGGCCTGAACCTCAGTTACAAGAATCACATCCTTTCTCTGTCTACCCTTCAGGCTGTCCCTCGGTTACTCTCTTCTTGCTATTGTGACCACAGCCTCAGTACACACTGCTGGGCCCCCTGATCCTTTGTTTGTACTCACCCCAGAAAATCTCCTGGGTGGGATTAGGAAGCATTACACCAAGTGGAAAGTTCTCTGCCCTGCTCACCCTACAGCGAGCTCATTCTCCGGGAGAAGCCAGCTCGCGCCCTTCCGCTGGGAGGAGCAGTATTTGGGTGCAGGCAAGAGGCGGCCTGGGTCACAGGGGTCTGTATGTGGAGTCTCCCCTGTCGCGGTTTGTCTCAAGGTGTCCTCCTCCCATCCTCTGCTTCCCGCTCCTCTCTGAGCAGCTGTCCAGGCACTCATGGGAGACGTGTGCATTTATATGTCTGAGCCCAAGCCAAACAGGACAAGAGACAGCATCTGATCCTGAACCGTCACAATCGCCCAGGATGACATGATAAATGCTGCTAATGTCCCCCCTCACCTGGTCTTTCCTTCTTCCTTTTAGTAAATGAACCCTCTGAGTTTTAAGTGGATTAAATTAAGATACAGTTCACTATCTAGCTAAAGAAGAATTTCCCTTTTCCCTTGCAAGGTCTGACCACGTAGCTAAGTCCTGGCTGACGGGCTCCGATTTGGACAGATGCACCTTCTCCATCACATCCTTAAAAGAAAATGGTCCTCCACTTCCTCGCTCCCCTTCTCCTCTGGCCCTGCAGCTGAGGACCACGAGGGTGACCGCGCAAGTCCAGGATGACCTCGGAAACAGAATGAAGTACCAGCTGGATTCTGACATGGGTGGGAAGTACACCTTCTGTCTCCTTTATGCTCTTGTGATTTGGCCTCTAGAAGAGTAGCCAAGAGAGCTCTTAGTTACCTGCATGCTTTGGGGACTGTCCATCTGGAGTAAGAGTTAAGTGTGGTCACAATGCCACTTATGTATTTTCTTTCTTTTTTTTAACAGCTTTGCTGCGATATCTTTGACATAGTAAAATCGTATATATTTAAGGTATACAGTTTGATGCTTCAATATATGTATACATTATGAAAAGATCGCCACAATCAAGCTCATTAACATACCAGCCGCCTTAACAAAAGTACCCTTGTGTGTGGTGAGATTTAATAACCATTCTCTTCCCAAATTTCAAGAATACAATGCAGTGTTGTTACCTATCAGCACTTGTTTCTTCTTTTTCATTTTTATTTATTTTTTATTTATTTTAAAACATATCTTTATTGATTTCAGAGAGAGGAAAGGAGGGGGAGAGAGAGAGAGAGAGATAGAAACATCAATGATGAGAGAGTCCTTGATCAGCTACAGCCTGCAACCCGGGCATGTGCCCTGACCGGGAATTGAACCCCGATCTCCTGGATCCTAGGTCGATGCTCAACCACTGAGCCACGCCCGGCCGGGCTCTTCTTTTTTATATGTGAATTGACTCCTGGTGGTTTTATTATTTTCTTCTCTTTAAAATCTCATTAGGGATGTGTGTGCTTTTAAAGCTTTGTACCACGTACACTTTTTTCAAATGGTGTGTGACAGGCCCAGAGCACTGCTCTCTTTCCTCACACCATCCCAGGGGGACTTAGAAGGGATGCACAAACACACCATTTTAAAGATGAAACAATGGTGGGTTGGGGTGGGACTGTAATTTTCTCAAAGCAAAGTAAGTGTGGAGGCAGAAATGGAACTCACTCACCTCTGAGCCCTGGCGTGACTCCACCAGAGCTGCGCTAGCTGCTCATCCGCATCAGCCCCTCTGCCCCCCTTCCTCCCTCCCCCACTCCTCTCTTCTTTCCTCCCCCCTCACAACCTGCCTCTCTGCTCTCCTCTCCCTCCTCTTGGGTGTTTCTACAGGTCACAGCTGGGGGAAAGGAGGCGACTCTCCCCTTACCACATCCAGTTCCGTTTTCTCCAGAACATCCACCAGCGTCTCAATCTTGGTCTCGTTGTTGAAGAGAAAGTCATCGTCCACCCAGAGAACATATTTGGTGGTGACCTGAGATACGGCCAGGTTCCTGCCAGCAAACCAACCCTGCAGGTGGAACGAGGCCAAATCAGTGGCTGCCTTTAGAATAATCACCTGGGGAGCTTTCTCACCTCCCAATAGCCAGGCTGCACCCCAGATGAATGAAGTCAGAATTTGTGGGGGCGAATCCAACATACAGCTGATGTTGAGAACCACTGGGTTAAAGGGAATCTATGTCTCCGAGACAAGGGAAGAAGGACAGTGAATTCCTGGATCAAAGATGGAAAGGGTAGAAAGCCCTTCCTTGGCCCTGTGGCCAATATGATGGACTGAAGTCCTTTCCCTCTGACGGTCTCTGTGGCCCTCCTTCCATTTCCCTTGTGTTGCCTGGAAGATGCTGGAAGGTGGGACACCCTGTTACGTATAGTATCTATTTCCTTCTGTGTGTCCTTGGAGGAAGGTGTATGGGGAATACAGACAGAGAAACAGCCGCTCTAGCTGGGGTGGAATCATAGAGAATTTTCTCTGCAGTTGGATCCACACGGCAGGAATCCTTGGGATATCAGACACCTCAAATCACCTAGAAGGACCTCAATCAGCTTCCACATCAAGTGTGAGGAAAGGCGGATTAACCACCCCGTTAATACAGAAAAGTGAGAGTGGCCTGATTTCTCTGTGAATTTGGAGTCAGCAAGGGCACTCAGAGGAGAGCCTTACCCCTCCCCACTCCAGGACCCTGCTTCCTTGGGAAGGCCCCTGAAGCAGCCCCATCCAGGATAAGACCTGACTCTGGGGACCTCTTGTTCTAGGACCCAGGTGTCTCCCCATCTGGGAGGAACATACCTTCCCAAAGGGCATGAAGTAGTACTCCACATGCCTGTCATTAATTTTCAAAGGTTCCTTGCTGTCATCAGCCACGATCACAGTCAAGTCTGGATAATACTCACGAACACTCCGAAGCATGGTCAGGAGCTTGTGGGGACGGAGAAAAGTTTTGGTGGCAATGGTTACCAGGTCTCTGAGTTTCCTCTCTGGTCAAGAAAGGGTGGATGTCAGAGCACTATCTTTTGGGAAGCCTCACTGTCTCAACTCACATTGTTCTGGTGGGGTTTTTAAAATAAATATATCTTTATTGATTTCAGAGAGAGGGGTGTTCTTCCATTGCTTTTTCAGAGAGATTGGAAGGGAGAGAGAGAGAAACATCGATGTGAGAGAGACCCGTCAATTGGTTGCCTCCCGCAACTCACCCCGACCCTCAACAGAGACTGAGGATCGAGCCTGCAACCAAGGTATGTGCCATTGGCCGAAATCAAACCCGGGACCCTTCAGTCCACAGGCTGACACTCTAACCACTGAGCCACACTGGCTAGGGCCAGGTGATGTATTATAGAGGTGTACACTTAAAACCTATATAATCTTATTAACTAGTGGCACGCCAATACATTTAATAAAATTAGAAATTTGGAACATATGCAGTTTGTTGAAATTTTTTGTCTTGTAGTCTTTTAAAAAATATTTACTTTTTTATAAAAAGAATAATGTAAGTGTAATTTTTTAAAACAATTTTTTAAAAATATTTTTTTATTAAATTCAGAGAGCAGAAGGGAGAGGGCGAGAGATAGAAACATCAATGATGAGAGAGAGTCATTGATCGGCTGCCTCCTTTACTCCCTGCACTGGGGACCAAGCCCGCAACCCGAGCATGTGCCCTGCCCGGGAACTGAACCTTGATCTCCTGGATCCTAGGTCCATGCTCAACCACTGAGCCACACCGGTCAGGCAAAATATATTTTTATTGATTTTAAAGAGAGAGGAATGGAGAGGGAGAGAGGGAGAGAGAGAGAAACATTGATGTGTGAGAGAGAAACATAGATTGGTTGCCTCCTATATGAACCCCGATCGGGGATTGAACCTGCAACCTGGGTACATGCCCTGACTGGGAATCAAACCAGCAACTTTTCAGGGCATGGGGCTGTGCTGAACTGAGCCACACTGGCCAGGGCTCTGTCTTGTATTCTAGAGGATTTTTTCCCTGGGTTCTGTTGGCTCCACTATGCCATTTTCTGCTGTCTATTTGAATGCTTTATTGTGTGCTTTCCTGTCAGCACTTTGCTTGAATTCTGTTTCCCTTTAATACTAGGAGCTGAGATGCACAGAGCTTTGCCCTTCAAAATGGATGGTCACGGTGTCCAGGAAGAAGAAAGAAGGTCTAAAGGACTTGACACTTGTCCCTGTCATCAGCTGAAAGTCCTAGAGAGAAACTTACTTGGACTTTATGCTCAGAAAGACATGAGTAGAAATAGGTCTACTTGGAGACTGGAAGGTCTGGACCAAATGGCCCATCTTCAGGCACGTGATTTATATAAAAGTCTGGAGAAGGAACAACTTTTCTATGGAAAATACCCCATGACAAAACAACTGGAGCTGCTGGTGTGTGTATGGAATTTAGCCACTGAGGGTAGAGCCACGCCAGCTGACTGAGCACAGAGGGGTCTGGGCGAGCGGGCTCAGCCGGAGTCCATGGGTGCTGAAATCACAGTCCTGCCTAGTGTTTGTGAGGACGTGCTCCATAACCCCACTGCAGAGCTGCTTTCTCAGAATGACAGAAATCATTCCTGGACCCCCCAGGTTGCTCGATTACCCCAGCTCCTCCTGGGGCTGAGGGAGCGAGGGGGAAAGGTATCAGTGGAAAGAGTCAAGTAGATCACACTCAAGAGCACGTCAAATGAGCCCGCTGCTCCCTTTTCTTTTCTCGGGCCACATGACGTTCAGTTCCTTTGTTAAAGAGAACCAGGAGTGTAACTATCACAGGTTGTGGTCAAGGTAAGGCACTCCTGGCCAAGCTGGTGGTGCAGCTTTCTGCTCTGAGACACCACCACCCACCCCAACCCCAAACACACAGCAATGATAAAGGAAAATACAAAGATATAGCCATGCTCAAAAATATGAGACATTTCTTCCAAACAATAGAAATAAAAAGCAGCAACCAGAGCTGGATTCTGGGGTCACTGCAACAGAGGAGGTGGAAGGCCAATTTGGAAAGGTAACGAAATAAAAGTGTCTCATGCGATGTGTGGGATCCAGAGCCAGGCACTGGCACTAGGTTGCACTCCCTCCTTCCCCCACCTCAGACTACCTGCTGGACAAGGAACCCCAAACAGCTATTACCCCTACACACACCTCAGGGCAGGACCTGTGCCAAGCCACCCTCTGGCCCAGCAACTATCTCCCCAGTAACTCCAGTATCACCATGAGAAGGGAACCCCAAGACACCAGTAGAAGGGAATGAACTAGGATCCTGGGAATACTGGGAGCAGAAGCAACTGTAAAGCTGGGAGATGAGAAGGAGTCAGGAGAGAAAGAGAGAAGAAAACAAACAAGCAAGCAAAAGTCTCCTACTCAAGATGAGCTCACCAACCAAAATTCCAAAACACTCAAAATTAGCATGAAGAACAACAGCCAAGAAATTTACCTTGTGCAGATGGACCCACTCCAGATAGACTGAAAATAATAGAGATATTTGAAAAGGATATAAAATGAAAATGTTTAAAATCTTTAAAGCAATAAATAACAGAATCACACAGAGAGAAAAGGAAATATGAAACAAAAACAGGTATAAGTAAAATGAGAACATTTGACTATGAAAACCGCTTAAAATTATTGAAGATCAATGTTAAGAACCAATAGGGGGACATGACTTCAGGTGTATTTAAATGTTATAAAAAGCATAAGAGGATGCTAAGAACAGCTTTATGACAAAAAGCTGGCAATTTTATGTCAAGTGGACACTTATAGAAACATTCAAAAAATTGACTCAATGTACATGCAGATTAAAGACACAGAATTATATTTTTAAGATTTCTCCCCTTTCTTTCCCTCCTTCTCGTTTACATTCCCACTCTTAATCCCTAACCGCCTACTTTGCAACTCGGACCACCTCCCACAAAAGACACAAAGACCAGGTAAGTTTTAACAAAAGTTCAAGAGATACATAATCCCTACTATATTACAATTCATTTTAGAAATAGTAAAAAAAAAAAAAAAGGGGGAAGCTACCTAACTAATTTTATGAGACTTGTACAATATTGATAACTTACTGAGCAAGGACATTACAGTTTTGAATACAGATGCAAGAATCCTAAATAAAATAGTAGTAAATTTAATTAAGCATTTAATCAAATAATGCATTGCAATCAAAGTGGTTTTATTCCAGCAATGCAAGGATATTTCAGAAGCAGAAAAATCAATCGACATAAATCACTACATGAACCCAACTGAAGGGGGAAAATTATTTCAATATGCAGACAAATTACCTGATAAAATTCAGTACTCATTCATAATAAAAAAAACTCTTAACAATGACATAGAAAACCGAAAGTAGAAACAGAAAAATGCAATGACATAGAAAACCGAAAGTAGCAACAGAAATAGAGGGAAAGAAGGAAATTTTCTTATCTTGATATATCTACTACACTCCTACACAGCAACCATTAGTGGTGCAACATTAGAATATTCTTCTCACCCGGCAGGACTGGCTCAGTGGTTGACCCAAGAACCAGGAGATCATGCTCCTGGTCAGGGCACATGCCCGGGTTGCGGGCTGGATCCCCAGTGCGGGGCTTGCAGAAGGCAGTCAATCAATGACTGTCTCATCATTGATGTTTCTATCTCTCCCTCTCCCATCCTCTCTCTGAAATCAATAAAGATATGTTTAAAAAAGTAAAAATAAAAAATAAAATAAAAAATGTTCATAGATATTATCAATTGCCTCCAGAAATGTACCCATTTATAGTCCCACCACCAGTTTCTAAGAATGTCTGCTTTCCCACTCCTTGTCCAATATTTTTCAAAAGTAAAAATGTAATTTTCATTTACACTTTTCTTAGTGTGATCCTGAGCGTATATTTTAATGGCTAAAAGTCTTGTTGAATTTAATTTTTTGTGATTTGTGCATTACCCACCGGCTTATTAGGTGTTCCTTACTTAATGATTCACAGGTGCTCTAAGTAAAATTAGACCTTTGACTTTAATGTGGTTGAAAATATTTTTTCCCAGCTTGTTCTTTTTCATTTAACTTTGCTTATGGTAAGTTTCTGCCATTAAAACATTTAATTTTTTTTATGTTTTTTACATTTTTAGTCTTTTCTTTATGGCTTCTGGGTTTTGTGTTATATTTAGCAAGGCCTTATACTCTAATATTATTTTTAAACTCCATTTTTTTCTAGTACTTAAAAAAATTAGACATTTGATCTATTTGGAGTTTATCTTGGCATGAGCTGTGAAATGGATTCAGCTTCTCATGTTCCACATAGCTACACAGTTACCCCACATGATTTCTTGAAAAATCTGTCTTTTCCCCCCTTTAATTTGAAAAGTTACCTTTATCACATGGTAAAATTCCAACCTGTCTATTTCTGGAATCCCAAATTGATCCCATTGATATATCTATTCATGCTCCGGTATCATTCTGTTTTTATTACCATTACTTATTAAAATGTTCATTGTGTCTTTTTCAAAATAAGCACAACCATATAGTAAGTTAACTATAATTAAACGATATTAGGGCAGTGTGTCCTAGGATTGTTTTCCTCCAAACAAATCTTATTGTCAGGAATCATATGAGAGCTGTTATTTTGATCAATTCTCATCCTCCATCTCACAGGGGATCTGAATTTCACCAATAGCTCTATGGGATGTCACCATGCAGCCCCAGGGGCAAGGGCCTTACCTGGTCCAGGGTCATATAACTTGGGCATGACAGGATGGCGGATGGTCACTGGAAACTTGGCTATTGAGGACTTGGATTTCAGACTCACTGGAGGGAGAAATAAGGTCAGGGTGGGCAGCACCGTGTCTGGGTCACTCACCACACTGCCCCAGGGAATCCCACGCAATGCGGAGTGAAAGTTTGGTAGACAGTGTCCTGGCTGGAGTGACACTGAGGACCTAATGGAGTCTGTGGCATTCTGGCTCCTGACAGCCATTCTGGCTGCTGTGTGTCCCTGGGGCAACCTGCTGAGTGCCTCCGAAGCTCACATTTCTTGCCCTTGTGAGAATCTGCTGGAGTCACAGGGTCTGGGTAATATTTGACTTTGTCATTATTACCGGAAATGCCTTGGATAAATCACTCAATCTCCTGCAGCCACAAAACCAGGATAATAGTACCTGCCCTGCTTTACCTCCCAGGGGGATTTTGTGAAAGGAAGCGTTGGACACCTGAAGGGGGAGAGAACTGGCTCTTCAGTGTGTGGCCATGGGTAATCTGTCCCATGTTTCATTTCTTTTGGTCGGTGTCCTGGGCATGCATCCTGTGTAGCTAGTCAAAAGAGAAAGGGGTGACTTTGATCCATCCAGGAAGAAACTGAGCTGCCTTTGGGATGGCAGGAATTGCTCTCCAGGGAATTCCTAGGGTGGAGCTGGGGGTTGAGTGGGAAGGAGAAGTCAAAGCCACTGCCCTTTGGACTGGGAGTTCTCCTGCATCTCTCTTTCCTTGTTCATACCCAGGACAATAAATGGGCGCATAGGCTGGCTCCCTCCACTGCTGCAGCTGAAGTCTTCAGCTTTGAAAGCTGTAGAGAATAGGGAACAGAACTGGATGGTTGCCAGGCGCACAGCATGAACGATCTGCCCTCACAGGGGCGGGGGGCAGGTGTCTCACCTGTCCTTTCCTCGAGTCACTTCTATGGGGTCAGTGGCAATGTGGGGATAGTATTGGGTGCAGTAATTTGGAAGTTAGGTGTCTAGGATTAGAAACAGGAGCAAGGGAAGCATCTTAAATGCAGGCAGACTTCCTGGAGGGGGAAGACTTTGAGAAGGCCCAGTAGTGTTTCCCTGCTCCCTAAGCATCCTGCCATCCGAGGGCAGGCTCTCACCCACATCCACCCCGTGGTGCTGGTACATCGAGCTGGTGTAGGTCACGTGCTGGAGAATGAAATTCAAAAGCTTCCGGTCACTGGTGGAAACGTTCAGCTGCTTCTGGCCTCTGCCCTGCACCACACTATCCGGGATGTCAACGAGGGTGTTGAGTGTCCCCAGAGAAGCTGTCAGGGTGACCTATGGTGGGTGAAGTACAAAGAGACTAAATGCAAGGAAAGGCACATACCCAGCACGGCCAGCAGGGAGCAAAGCATATTAGGGTGCGAGAAGCGTCTTGGGTGCCCAGAAGCTAGGGTCTGGCTCTGCATGGCACCACTGCTCTAGTCACAGCAAAGGAGAATTAAGCCCTGGCGCCTGGTGCATTCAAGCACAGTTTCTTTTCTTTTATCTCTTGCTCGGCAGGATACCATTCTTCTTTTGACTGCAGTTTGCCAACTCCCCCTCCTCTATCAGACCTCCAAATGAACTTTTTCAGAGCCTGACTCTGCACCCTTTGCCTTTTTATTCTAACACCTTTTTTCTAGATTTCATCCATTCCCTTGGCTTTAAACACCATCCATATGCTGATGGTTTCAAAATGTATATCTGCAGGTCCTCTCCTTCTGAGATCCAACTGCCTGGTTGGTTGCCCAGCTAGGAAGTGTCACAAGCAAATCAAACTGAGATCTTCAAAACTGAACTGTTGACGTTTCTCTATAAACCTGATTTGCACCCTCTCCCTGGTTCTCCCTACCTGGTGAATGGCACCTTTATCCGCTCTACTGCTCAGGTCCCCAAATGGGAGCCATTGCTGTTCTACCCCTACAGCCAATCTACTGACAAGTCCTGTCCGTTCCACCTTCCAAATGTAGCTGGAATTGGCCCGCCCGTCTTCATCCCCATTGCTGCTCCCTCACGCTACTCTCTTCTCTGGCCTTTTGACTTCTGCCCAAATGGCCAGTTATCTTTATGAAAATTGGACTAGATTACGTCACTCTTGCTGAAAACACTTTAGTCAGTCAATGGGTATTTTCTGAAATCCAAATTACAGGCAGGGGGAAAGAGTTTTGAATAAGAGATTCCTTGCCTTCAAGAGGCTTATAGTCTACTAGGGAAGAGAGGCAATAAACATATAATAACACGTCTAAGTTAATTCAGGTACAGGTAACTGCTATGAAGATAACGGAGTACTGAGAAGGTGACAGAAGTGGAGGGGGGCTTAGCTGGGGGGGGCAGAGGAGGCCTCTGGAGCACAGAGTAGCTGCTCACTCATCCATCACCCACCCCAACCTCTGTTCAACATACAGAGGTGAGGAAACTAAAGCTACATGTCCCAGGCTCCTTTTTAGTTAGGGTTCTTGATGTGATTTATGTCCCCCCAGTCAGGGCTTGGGTGCGGTCCTGGAATTCCTGCCTGGAGCTGCAGCCCCTCCTCCAGCTGGGAAAACTGCCTTCCATAGGCATCCTTCCCCTCCCCCACCTTAGACTCGCGGCTGGTATTTAATCTGGATGGGGACCCTGTCAAAATCTGAGACCAGCCACCACTGAGGGGAGGGGGCATGAGCAGTGAGCCAAGGACAGGACGCCAAGAGCGCAGAGGGCCTGGGAAGGGGGCTCTTGCCTTGTAGATGGGGGCGTTGGGTCCATCAAACTGGAGACCTGGAAGACACAGGAAAATGACAAAGTAACACCATCTTAGAGGGTCCCAGGGGCTCTCTGAGGCTCACACTTTCCTGGCTGACTCCATATCCTTCCAGAGTCCCTTCAAGTGTCCCCTTCCATGGTCCTTCCAGCGGTTCTAAAACCTCTGACGCCCACCCTCACCCTCACCCTTCCAGGTATTTCTGTTACTGAAGGGAAGGAAGCAACGGGTAAATAATGAGTCGTCCTTCTATGAGGCACCAAAGTAGTCACATTCCTCAAGTCAGAGGGTGGGACGGTGGCTGCCAGGGGCCGGGGGAGAGGGGAATTCGTGTTAAATAGGTACAGAGCTCCAGCCGGGGAGAGGAAAGGGTTCTAGAGATGCAGGGCGGTGATGGCTGCAGAACAAGGTAAGTCTCCTTAATGCCACTGAACTGTACACTTAAAGGCGGTTAGACGAGGTGCTCGCTTCAGCAACACATATTTTTAAATGGTTAAAATAGTAAAGTTTGCCATGTATACTTTACCACAATAAAAAATGAATCATCCGAGGAGTCATATCATTTTTAAATGACTGTTTGAAAACACTAACAACCCCAATATTTCCTTTAGCATCTGTTCTTATGACTAATTCAAGTTCTAATTCAAACACATCCTCCCCATGTGGCCATAGGTAACTTACTAAGCTCATCTGCGAAATTGGCAAAATAATATTTACCTCCCAGGGCTGTGCTGCTGAACTAGAGGAGTGTGTAAAAATCCCTCCTGGAAAGGAGGATTGTTTGTTTGGTTTTTGTTTTTGTTTTTCGGAGCAAGGGTCTGCTCAGGATAGGTTTTTTAATTGTTTAAAAATCAAATAAATGGCCCAGGCGGCGTGGCTCAGCAGTTGAGCATCGACCTAGGATCCAGGCGATCGGGGTTCGATTCCCGGTCAGGGCACATGCCCGGGTTGCGGGTTCGATCCCCAGTCGGGGGCGTGCAGGAGGCAGCCGATCGATGACTCTCTGATCATTGATGTTTCTCTCTCTCCCTCTCCCTTCCTCTCTCTGAGCTCAATAAAAAACATTTAAAAGAAAAGAAGGAATAGGAAAGTTGCCCACGTCCTTTCAGGGCGGGGCGTACCTACCTGGGATGGGAACTGTCTGCAGGGGCATCACCTCCACCCCGTGCACCGGGTACCCGAAGGGCAGGTTGGGCGGAGCCAGCAGGGCCGGGGGGCGGGGCAGCCCCTCTCTGCAGGAAGAGGGACCCGTCAGCAGCCGCCTGACCCCCAGGTCAGTTCTTAAAGCCATGCCTGTGCCGAGAGCCTCGTGCTGCCAGTGGGGAGAAATGGCAAGCAGATTGTCCCCGTCTCCACTCCCTTCTCCCCTCCTCCCTTATGCCCAGCCTCGAGTGCCACAAACGGAGGCCGTTTACAACAAAGCAGGTAAAAAATAAAAATCACGGCCAGCAAAAAAGAAACAAAATAATGCATGGGCCGACACAGCTGCAGCAGCTGAACGCCAGTCACCTGTGAACCGCCTGGTGGCCGGGGTCTAAAATGATTGTCAGTACTCTGGTCTTCTCAGAGGGGCCAAGGAGACCAGCCCCTGAAGGGAAGTAAAACTTTTCCCTGGACAGCACTAAAAAACAAAGTATATCACAGGAAACTTTGCATGTCTTCTCCATATTTTTAGAGCAAACACAGCAACAATTTTCAAATGGTTTTGTTGTTGTGACAACCTTCAGTCAGAGGCAAGTGCATAATACAATCCAGTGAGGCTGGTCCTTTGAGGGGCTAAGGTAATGTGGCTCTAATGTAGCCTTCAGGGATCCAGTTTACCAAAGTTACCACTTAGATTATCTGGAAGAGAGATTCGACTTCTGTGGTGAGTATTTATGGGACTATGAAAGAGACAAAATTTAAAAATGGGAAAGGACACAAATAGGCAATTAACATAAGAGGAAATGCAAATGGGTAATAAATATATGAAACATGCTCAGCTTCGATATCAGTCAAGGAAATACAACTTTAAAAAACAACTACCTTTTCAGTAAAGTTTAAAGGTAAGGGGNAATATCAGTCAAAGAAATACAACTTTAAAAAACAACTACCTTTTCAGTAAAGTTTAACGGTAAGGGGTGTGTAAGGTCACCCCGATACACCAAGGTTGTGGGTTCAATCCTCAGTCAGGACACATACAAGAATTAACCAATTGATATTTGTGCAGGATATTTCAAATTGATATTTGAAACAAGGAATGGCTTGCCAGCCTTGTGTGCTTCCATACATCAGGCCCTTTTTGAGTTACTAGTTCTTTGTATGTTAATACACTTCACCTTACAATAAGCCTTTGAAGTTGCCTCTATTACAATTTTTCATGTGAGATACTGAAGTATTATAGGTTAAGAAACTTGCCATCCAACTTGTTCCAAAGTTCCAGTCCTTACTCATGGTGCTATTATTCTTTATTGTAGCACAGCTTCTAGGATAGCTCATAAATGATCGCTTAAAAAAAAAAGAGAAACAAGGAATGGCTTGCCCAGCCTTGTGAGCTCCGTTGTATCTTAATTTCTCATCCTGGTCATCCTACCACCTATGGATTTGGTGAGGTCCCAACATCCTTCCCACGAATTCATCCTTTTGACATAAGCCAGCCAGAATCATTTTCCGCTCTTTTCAAACAATAATCTTGGTCAAGACACCCTGAGTGTCTTAACTCTGGGCCTTGAACATAACAGGGGACAGTATATTCTCAATATAAATGAGTGGGACAGGGCGACTCGGTGAGACTGCAGTCACCTGCTATGACAGTCTGGGGGCAGGAGGCCATGCCACACAGCACTAACATTGCAAACTTATCTTCATTCCTTTGCTCCTTTTTTATTATGAAATGTTTTATGCATGCAAAGTTTATAACTTCATTTGAGGGCTATTTCCTCTGTTCTCTTTCTTTATTTATTCCTAATAGTTCCTCCCAGGGACCCTGCAAGAGAGGGAGCTCCTTCCTTCTCTCTTTGAACCCACGCCCTCAGGACAAAGTGAGCTTTTGCCCTTCCTTGGGACCCAGGAGCACTCCGGGTCTATGTTACCTCCTCTGAAAGTGTTCAAATTCAGCCTGTCTTCTCGCTTTCACTGCAGGGAGGTCTGTCCGGCCATAGGCATCCTCTAAGTTGTAGCCATGATATTCGGTTTCGCATTCGCACTGATTTTTTGGGAAAAGCCTAAAACAAGCAAGAGGACTGTGAACATTATTGGGTGGATGGGTTGGTGGGTGAGGGATCCTGAGGCCAGGCCTCATTCGTGTGTCATTCCTAGAATTTCCTTTCCCAGACCCTTTGTCCTGGTTGGGCTGAGACTCTGGAATCTCAGCAGTGGCCCCTGACAGAGGCCCAGGGAGGGAAGAGAAGGGGGACAGGAAGAAGGCCCCCCTCCCCTTGAATTATCCCTTGCACCAAACTTCTTTAAACTTGAGAGTCACAGGAATGCCAGTGGCATCTCAGCCCCACCAGAAGAG